GCGGACGCCGGGCTGCAGACGCCCGGCCCAACCGCCGCCCCTACCGGCGGCCGCGGCGCGCGCCCCAGGACGGACAGGTGGGGGCTCCGCGGCCGCTCGCGCGCGGGGGCTCGTGGGTGCCTGCGGCCGCCGCTCACCTTGCAGGGCAGAGAACAAAAGTGTGGCGGGGCTTGGCGCTCGGATCAGATACCCGGCCCGCGCGGTGTGCGTCCCCGGGAGTCGTGGCGGAACGAGGGAAGGGGCCGCGAAAGAGGAGAGTCTCCCCACGCACAGCCCTGGGATCGCAAAGGATGGAGTCGGTGCGCTCGCCCATTAACGTGCCGGAAGTGCTGGGTAGGCCTCTGGAGGTGTGGAGCGGGGTGACGGCCCTCGGTTTAGAGGAGCAAATAACAGAGATCTGACGTTCCCCAGCCCCAGGCTGATGCCTTCCAGGTGGAACGTGATTCCGAAAGGTGGAATTTTTTTTTTTCCCTGCAAGTGGAAGGGTGTTGTTTCGCGGGGTGCATCTAGGTGGCCTACTTAAAATTAGCAGCATTTGATGCAGTGTGACTTAGTGGAAGGTTTTCAGTGAGCCACGTCGGTGTATCTTTAGGTCATTGGGAACAGATGCAGACCTTGTCTAGACAATGTGCAATAGAATGGGGAGGGGAGACAATCTTATTAGCAGCACCTAGCGTGAAGGGACCAAAATTCCTTCTTATAATAACTGAAACAGAACAGATTGCTCTTCTATGCAGAAGAAAAAAGCTAACCACTGTCCCCTTTGACTGCCTTTTGTCTGTCAGTCTTAACTCGTTGGAGAAGGTAGAATGCTCTGTCATCGCCTTGGTTAAATCACCCCCAAGCAAAAGTAGGTGTGAGTTAGAAACGAAGCAAGAAAGCCCAGTGCTGGATGTCACTCCATTTTACTTTGAAAGTCTCTCCAATAGTGATGGAGTCACTGATAGAAATACAGAAGCCAAAAAGAAGAAGGAAGAAAAACAAACAGACCAAAAAAAAAAAAAAAAAAAAAAAAAAAAAAAAAAAAAAAAAAAAAAAACAAACCAGAAAATTTCAACTGAGAATAGACTAAAGAAAGAGGGTAGAGATTTTGGCAAAAAGGTTCAACTGCGTTAGGAGTTTTCCTAGATGCCTCAAGTCCCAAAGAAACAACAGGCAAACTTAACAGTTGGAGGGGGAAATAGCCTTTCAGTCGTTGAGCAAATGTTTAATTTTTTTTTTTTCCAAGTTAGAGATTAAGGGAAAGGTGGCTGGGTACGTGCCAACCATAATACATAAAGCTTTAGTTATAACATACCATTATCCCAAGTTATTAACAGCTTTTAAAATAGGAAAAATAAGAAACATCGGGGAATTTTATTTGGTATAAATGTCTTGCAGTTACTTTAAATTTGAATTAGGGCTTCATAAGAACAAATGAGCCTGTGTCCCTCCATCTGCCAATAATTTTCACAGTTTGCTGTAAAAGCAATGACGTTTTAGCTCAGACTTTGAAGAGAAAAGGCCCAGGAGTTCATTGATGTGGACAGTAGAGTCCTGTGCCTACAGAACATCAGAATTTAGAATAATCACTCCAAATGTGTTGCTTGTGTTGACAGCAAAATCATAGTTTTGTTAACCTTAAGAGTTCAACATTTTCTGAACTTGATAAAGTTGAGAATTTGTGTATGAATCTATATATATTAAAAAAAAAAAAAAAAAAACAAGGCGGGAGAAGCCAGGAAGATGACTTAAGAGGCAAAGTCACTAACCCTCCAGCCTGAGGATGTGAGTTCGAGTTCAATCCATGGATGGAAGTAAAAAGCCAGATGTGCAGAAAAATGGGAGTTGAAAACAGCAATCTTTTGGCTGGAAGCTCTTGGGCCAGATGCCCTGAAATGTACAACTGTGCAACTTGTGAGCTGAGACAAGAGAGACCCTGCCTCAACCAGGTAGAAGATGGAAGCTGCCCTCGGTGTCCACCTAAGCACACAGGAAACAAGAGAAAGAAAGCTGGGTGTGGTGTGGGGTCTGTGTTCCCAGGTCTCAGGGGGCTAGAGTGGGAGGACTGTGTTCTAGTCTAGGCCCTAGAGTAAGGGCCTAGCTTCCAGGAGCCAAAGAGATAGAAAAAAGCTTATCCTCTGAGTTCTTGTCGATGTTTATAAACTGTGAGTTATTTCTCAAAGTCTGGTCCCCATGCATTTATATGCAAATGAAGCAATGACTACTTGCAACAAATTTTCTTTACCAGAGCACTATTTTTTTATAGTTCTGTAAGTTGCTTTATGAGATCCATTTGCTTTTGCCAAAAGAGAGGAAATATGCAGTCTTAGAACAAAAACAACAACAAAAAAAATGCTAATGGATACAACAAATGCTATTATATAAAATAGAAATCGATAAGAATTCAATATGCTTAAAAGTCATTTCGGGGGAGTCACCATTGTGTAACAATTTTATTACCATTACTTCCAAAGGGTAAGCCAAGGGACCCATTTAGATAGAGAATGAGCTCTTCCAAGGCAAGACACCACTGCAGCACAAAGCAGATCAACAATTCATCTCATTGTCAAAACCAAACCAGATGGGTACCTTAAAGAAACCTGTCAGCTATGTTTCCAGTGTTCTGATCTAAAATGTAGGCAAAGCAGGATATCCAGAATTCCCTGCGAGGGTACAGAAGTGAGAAAGGACTTCAAAGGCCAGATGTTGCACAGAAAAGAGATGCACAGTTTGAGGAGAGCCCGCTAGACTCACAGTGGAGAGAGATGTGCCGTTGTTTCCGGATACTCAGGACAAAAATGATCCAGAGCATTCGGATCCGAACGCCTTATCAAGTCATTTACAACCACGCTGTTCCTCACAGGAGCAGTTCTGCGCCCGGCATGAATCAGCAGGGGTGTATTCACTTCAAGATGATTCCTTTTTCCCTGGAATTCCTGTGGGGGTGGGGCCAAGTTTATGTGTAAATAAATTTTTGTATGTTTAAAATGTTTTCAGTATTAAAGACAGTTCCAGCAATTCCTCATTTGTCTGACATAGTTATTAAAGGAGTCGTTGAGGGGTTGGTTATAATCAGTTATTCTAGATAAATTATATTTCCATCTTGAAGTTCTAGAAACAGTTTAAACCATTTTCGTTGATTTTTTTTCTTTGAAGTTTCACTACCATTTTGCTTTAAGCTAATAAAATACAGTAGAGCTTGTAGCTCAGAAGTATAGTGCCAGAGATGAGGGAGGGAGGATGAGATTGGGAGGGATTGAAGGAGGGGACTACAGCTGGGATACAAAGTGAATAAACTGTAGTTAATACGAGAAAATAAAAAAAGAAAGTATACTGCTGCCTAGTGTGTTCAAGGCTTAATCCTCTGTACCACAAGAAAACGGAAGAATGTAGCTGAACTTTTTCATGTTACCAGCAGTAACATGAGGCTGTGATACAAGATGTCCTCCGGGGGAGGACATACATACTTATGCTCATAACCACTCAATAGACAGTCTCTGCTACTGTGTTCCTGGATCTCACAGATCTGGCCCTGAGAACTGAGTTTCCTGCTGTCCTGTCTGTGCTACTATAGCACTGCCTTGCTACAGTCATGAACACACCTACCCCTGAATTGCCTTCTAGCATGTTAGAGTAGCCTGGGAAACCAAATAAACCCTATTTTAAACAAAACACAAATGCTAAAAGCTCTAACTTTGAGGCCTCTTATTTAACTGAAAGTCCTTTTGTCTGTTTTCATGTCTTCCTCTAAGTTCAGATAATTGCATTTACCTGATAGCTTTTCTACATAAGTGAATTATGTTCAAGTTTCCTTATGAGAAATCTAAGCATAACTTTTCAGATTTAATGGGAAAAAAGGCTCTTTGTCCACTATCACATCCATTTCCTTTTAAAATATCAAATATGTTCAAAATTTTTAGAGGAATTCATAAAGCCATACTAACAATGATTGGCTAATGGCATAGGTCAGGGTTAGAGTACACTCGGCATGCATGAGATCCCTGCTTTGTCCCCCACCGCCAATTTTAAAAGAAAAAACAGCAACCTACTAAGACTGTAGAATGGAAAAACCTGCAGTAAGTGGTAAAGATTGGGAAAACATCAGTATATCCCTATTTAGGAAGTGTAGATGAGGGCCCAGACGCATGCATGGTCCTAGTGAGTTAATCCACCTTACCAGCTACACGGGCAAAGTCAGTTTATCACAGATGAGGGACAGACAGATAGTATTTGCCTTCAGATATGATTCTCTGGACATGTAACATGTAAATGGGTAAACAACAGCTCAGTCTCCATTTATAAAGTAGGGTGAATAGTCGTTAAGGTATGCTAATGTTATAAAAGACAAAAGCTGTGAAAGTATTAGAGTGGAAATGGCATGACACTAAGTATATGAAATACTGGACTGGGTCTTTTTCGAAAGGAAGAAAAAATGAAGGGCATTAGTGGGTTAACGGGTTAACTAATAGATTGATTAAAGTATTTCATTAATATTAAGTCACTGACATTAATAATGACTGTGGTTACATTCTTAAGAAATATTCACTGAAGTATCTAAAACTAAAGGGCCAAGTTGTATATATTAAAAAGTGTGTTTACATTTATTATTTATGTAAATATATATGCCATGATAAAATGTTAACAGCAGGTGACTGAGGAAAGAGTGAGCATTTGCGATCTTTTTATAAATTCAGAATTACATCCAATAAAAGGTCTTATTTTCTTTTCTTCTGGGTTTATGGTTTTTTGTTTATTTGTTTGTTTGTGGCAGAGTCTCATGTAGTCCAGACTGGCTTCAAACTCATACTGCCGAGAATGACCTTGAATTCCTGACCCTCCTGCTTCCACTTCCCAAGTGCTGGGATCATAGGCCTTACCACACACCCTGGAAAGTTTTTCTTAAAACAACAGCAAAATTACCCTTTGAGCCAGGTGTGGGCCATACCTGGAATCCCAGCACCTGGGGGAAAGGTGGCATTTTGGATTAATCTCTTTGCTTTAGATAACTGTCACACATTTTTTTTTTCCTGCATCATCATCTTTTAAAAAAAAAATAACTGCATTCATTTATTGTGTATGTGTGTCTGTATGTGCACCTATGTGTTATGGCACTTGTGTGAAGGCAGAGGATAGCTTCTAGAGTCATTTCATTCCTTCTGTCATGTGAGTCCCAGGAACCAAACTTGGTGGCAGTCACCTTTAAAAATGGGCCATGTCTCATCTTAAACAATTAGCTCGTTCTGCAACATTTTCACTGTATCTTGAATACTGACCCCTTCACCACCCAATCCACACACACACACCCTCACACATGCCCTTGTCCCTGTGGCTTACTAAAGTGGCACCTTAGAGCTGCCATCACCTCAGTCTACTCTACCCAGTTTACCATTTTACTCACTAGTCAGGATTCTTTGGCTGATTTAAATATGCACATTTTAATTTCTCCTTCCAAAAGATGCTGATTCCTTCCACAGCACATCTTCCTCTCCCGAGCCCTCCACTTCCTTTAATTCTTAGGATCCAACTAAAGACCTGCCTCTGCTTCCATGATCGCTGCCTTC